TGCAAAACAAAGTCGTCATCAGTTTATCGGAAAATTCCCTGTTTCTCATAGTGAGAAACGAAATTTATTCCTTATGGGGGCATTTTCGTGAATAAATCAACAACTTTTTCATTATTGTGAACTCCACAATTGAATAAGGAAATATACATGTTACATTATTCGATTGGTTTTTATAGGTCATACATACAAAGTACAATGTAGTAAGAGACTAATTTTATAGTAGTACATACCCTCGCCATGACTATAGCTATTTCCATGTTCAGGGTTTGCTTCACAAACAATTCGCCGTTGCATGGCTTGTGAAAGGCGTTTGAAAGCCAAGTCTCGTTCCAAATTCGACTGGCAATCCAAAATCAATTAGGAGGAAATATATTTTTTGATTTTAACATGCAGCTAAAATAAGAATAAAAATTTGAGACCAATTTATACAATTGTCAATCATAAATATATATATATGTGTTTTTTAGATATGTAAAGGGATTACTTAACGTAAAAAGAAACAAATTGGAAAATTCAATAGCATTACTTCAATCAACTACGCAATTTATAAACTTAAGAAGAGAACATTGTCAACAGAGGTCTAGGCTCCAAACCTTTTAGCTTGCTGTTTTTCCAATTCAATTGTTCTTGGTACAACTTTTACACCCTGTGACAAAATGACATGTATATTTCGTATTAAACATAATAAGACCATAAGACATGGTATATATTATCGACAATAATCTTGCAAATTAAATTAAAATAGTTCTTACCAAAAAAAAAAAAAAAAAAAAAAAAATCACTTACCGGAATAGACTCAAGTACTTTGGTTGCATTAGGGGTTGCAGCCTTCCCTTCAACAAAGAGGAAAAAATTCGAAATGCCAACAACCTTATGAAACAGGATCCAAGACAATATATCCTCTAGCCTAGCTGATGTTGTTGAAGTTATACATATCTAACACAATTTGAAATACCTTAATTATTAACATATGTAAATGAGAGTAATTTAGACCAAAAAAAAAAAAAAAAAATAAAAAAATTACGAAATCAAACATAAAAAGTCAACTTGTGAAATGTAAATGAGAGGAATGATTTGTAAATTCTACCAGGAAACACTCGTCCAAAACATTGGTTAAAAACTTAAAATTAAATATCTTTTTACCATGTAAAAAGTCAAATGTCATCTAATACAATTTAAGAGAAGGCATGAAATTTTACCAACCAAAATCACATAAAATTCAAACAAAAAGGCTCAAAGGAGCTAACCTTGGGTGTAAGAACAGAGTCATTGTTCATAAACTTGAAACTACTTAAACCAGAGGAAACAGCCGATGAAGTGTTCAACTTTGCCGGAGCCGGAGAAGTGCAAGTGATCGGACGGTCTAAGGACAACCGTGTCAACGGATCGATGGCGCCGCCTCGCCATTGAAGAAAAAAGGTTAATAGTAACACAAATGAAGGAAGGATAATGAGAAGTAAAAGGTGTTTAATGATGATTTTTTTTATTGATGAAGTAGGAGCTTGGCTAATAAGATCCACCATTGTATGTATGTATTACTCAAGTTTTAGCACAAATAAACAAAATAATGAGAGAAGGAAATTTATTATGAAAGGAAATGTATTAAATTGTTACAAGTTGATTTATATAGTTATTACTAGTTTAAATTTATTAATTAAGATGAATACGAGTATAAACTAAGAGAAGTAGTAAACCATTGACCATCAAAGTTGGAGAGAGGCAAGGTAATGTGAAGTTGTATTTTTTAATGTAAAATTATTATGTAAGGCCATGTGAGTGTATGACTAGATCGAGAATTAAGATTATTAGCTGTTGATTTATTCAACATATATAAGGTGAAGGTTGACTGATACTCAGTTTTTAGTTTTTTGTCTAAAAATTATACAATGAATGTTATAAAATGAGGCTTTGTTACATATACAGCCATGTTCTCATCACTTCAATTTCATTGAACTGAATGATGCTTGGTGATTGTGACTAATATTTACTGGTGTATATGGTATATGATAGTTTATCAAGCCTTTTTTTTTTTTTTTTTTTTCTTCTCTTCATATTGAGTTATTATTACTTTATACAAAACCTTTCTCGAGATATAATCTATCGATATGGTGAAGATTTGAATTTGATTGTGATCTTTATAGAGTTATGGAAAAGAGAATATTGTTGGTAAGTTTGAATATATTCATGAAATGATATAGTGTTACAAGTAGCACTGTCAAAACAGTTTATTGACAGTTCGGTTTCGGTTTGGTTTGAAACCAGTTCGGTTTGAAAATGGGTCGGTTTGGAATCGGTTCAAGTGCCTTACAGGTCGGTTTCAGTTCGGTTCAAATTATTATCAGTTCGGTTTATTCTTGAGCGGTTTTAATTCGGTTCGGGTAGTAAACGACTCGGTGTAGACGGGTTGCGGTTTGTTAACGGCTCGGTGTAAACGGTTTTTATCCCGGTTCTAACGGTTTCGAGTTGAAAACGATTTTGGGTTAGAAACGGTTCGGTTCGGTTTTATCGCAGTTCGGTTTAGAACGGGTACGGTTCTTATACAGTTTAACATTATCCGATTCGGTTCGATTTTGGGTTTACTAAAATATAGTTCGAGTTGGTTTTCTGTTTCAAAAGTCGGTTTTTAATCGGTTCAGTTCTCATTTTGCGTCGGTTGGTTTTGGGCAATTAAATGGTTTTGATTAATAATATTCTTTATTATGATTTTTGTATCGACTTTAATTTGTTTTTGGAAGATCAAAGGATGCAATCATCTCATTTTAAAAATTTTGAGAATTACAATAATACATCATAAGAATTTGACTATGCCAGCTTTGGTCCAATTTATATAATTCCGAGCAAAATATGAAGCACTTTGATGATGTCGTTTAAAGAGAAGACGAAGATTATTTTTGCTTAATCCATAATTACATATAAAAAGTCAGAGAAAACAATAATGTACTCCGTAGTAAACATGTGTGCATAATTTTCATATAAAATTCCTCTTATCATGATTTTGATCTTCCCTTTATATTAAGCGGTTTGTAATCGGTTCGATTTATAAGCATTTCAGTTCATAAACGGTTTGGTTTATAAACAGTTCGGTTTGTAAGTAGTTTGGTTTATAAACGGTTCGGTTTATAAACAGTTTGGTCTGTACACGATTCGGTGCAAACGGGTTGCCGTTTGTTAGTGGTTCGGTGTAAACGGGTTTTATCCTGGTTCAAACGATTTCGAGTTGGAAATGATTCGGTTCTTTTTATTTCGGTTCAGTTTTATTTCAGGTCGGTTTAGAACTGGTTCGGTTCGTTTACAAGTTATGGTTCTTATACAGTTTAACATTATTCGGATCGGTTCGGTTTCGGGTTTACTAAAACACGGTTTGGGTAGGTTTTCGGTTTTAAAAAAAAAACGGTTTTTAATCAGCTTGGTTCTCATGCATTTGGAACGGTTGATTTTGAGCAGTTAAACGGTTTCGATTTGAAATTTGACAATGCTAGTTACAAGAGTTTAAACCTAATACAATCTCTATGATTTACTAAATTAAACGATGTAAATGAATCAAATAAATAAGTGATTACATAATGTAATATTAAAGATATTTACATAATATACATAATATCCTATCATACCAAAGAAAATAAATATGGATCTTATTCATCCAATATCGACCATGTTTCAATTTTCCTACGATAGGAACTATTAAAGGAGACCGAGGCCAATTTTCATTCGAGTTCAATTTAGTCTACTCTAAGCTAATTTTGTTGAATAATCATTCTTCTTACATGTGAGGTGTGACTAATTTAATTATACCATATCGAGATAAAAAGAAACCAAGAAGGGATGACAAACATATTTTTAGGCACAATTGAGAACTATTGCACCACATTACTACGCCTATGCACTTTGAATGTATTTTATTCATATCGATTTAATCACCAATTTTTAGAGAAAGTGGAAACATGGAGTAAACTCCAGTTCCAAATATTACTGGAGCTAGAGGATCTGCGCCCAAAAATGTGGCTTTACTTGGACCGAAAGTTAATACTTCCTAGTTTTTCTTTTATTGCACCATAAGAACTTTAACACTATTCACATAATGTTTTTTTACCGTCTTTTATGATTTAACCGTAAGAAAAAATATAGTTATATGGGATCCAGTTAGATTCGTCTTGAAATTTACATTTCAAATATCAAATTTTTTTAAAATTTTTACAAAAGTATAATTAAAGATATTAACAGGCAAAGTAATTTTTTGACAAACGTAAAACCACTCATGATGCAATAAATAAAGAACGGAGGAAGTATAATGATTAACTCCTTTAATAATACTTCACCTTATTTATTTATATTTTGGTAAATCCATTTTCATTGTACATGTTTGCCAATGTGTGTGCTTTAATCTTAATATTTTTAATGAATTACAATACAAAATTATGAAAAGTCGATAATTTGAAACTGTATAGTGAGATGAATATAACAAAATACAATATTTTACTTTTTTTAAAGTAAATTATTTTCAAATAATTGAGAGAGATTGTTATATACTACACCGGATTGTTCATTTAATCATCGAATGAACTAAAAAAAAAAAAAAAAACTTTGGGTAGTGCACCTTGTATCATGGTGCATGTATATTATACGAGTAATTTTCAGTCGATGATTTAGTACGTAATAAAAGTGAACTGTATAAGTAGTGCACCTTGTATCCTGATGCATGTATATTATACAAGTAATTTTCAATCGATGATTTAGTACGTAATAAAAGTGAAATGTGCAAAAATAGTGTCAAAAATCACTATGTATAGTATATATAACTGAAAAAAGGGGAAAATGTTAGAAGTTTATTTCAATGATAAAAAGAAACAAAGGGGCAATTAAGTACATGGTTAATTACCTCCTTAAGTTTCTCCAAAGAATAAATTTCTCTAAAGTTTTATTACTATAACTGCATTCTCTAATACTTGTATAGTTGTATGCTTTATACATATCAACGATTCAACGTGACTATTAATATTTGATGAAGAAAATATTTTCATTCAATTGAAGGTGAAGTGTCTTGTGCCGATGAGATTATAGAAGCAAAAATCCCGGATTCCCTTAATTTCTGAATAATTTACCTGTGAAAGCTTTTTTTTATGAATGAGACATCGAGATAGATCACAAAGTAATTTTTTTTTTTTTTGGTATGTAAAGACTTACCATGGGAGTATAAATGCGAGTTAAAATACCATATTTCAATAATTTACGATTCATTTTATCATTATCCCACACCACATGGCAGTGCCGGGGCTAAAATTGCAAAAAAATTTTGGGGCCCTGTTTAACTTTTTAAAATGGGGCCTTATAGTTCATAAATTTAATACCTAATTTTTATTTGATAAAAAAATTCATTACATTAGAAAATTCATCATTTTTTTTTAAAATAAAAGGGAGATGATTAAGGTTTACAAAATTAGGATCAAGAAGCACAATGTGGCCATGATCCTTGGGCCTAAAAAGGCTGCTGATCATCAGCAAACAAAACAACTTAAATAACATAACATCCAAGCTACAAATCATACTACAAAATATCAAAGTTTGATTGTTCCTAGAAATCACTTAAAAAGAGTAGCTCTTCTTGTATGTTTTGTAGCAAAGTCATCGATGACATTCTCCATATCGACTTCATCTAAAAGATCAGATTCAATAGCCATCAATGCGAGTCCATTTAATCTTTCTTGTGACATTGTCGTCCTTAAGTACGATTTCAGCAACTTCAACTTTGAAAAACTCCGTTCTGCAGAAGCAACAGTAATAGGAATTGTTAGTAATATCCTATATGCAATTGTTGCATTTGGGAAGCAAGTATATCGTTTTAAAAAATTCAATAAATCAATTGCTCCCATTTTCTCCTTGGGTAAAAACTCTCTAAACCATGTTAACTCAACAAATAAATCCTCTCCATCAACATCAGAAACCTCACCTTTCTTAAGAGCATTTTCAAAAGCTAAACAAGAAGATAAAAGTTTCTCATCATCCATTGAATGCAACTTATCAGAATTGAACAAAAAGCCAAAGATATTATCATACGATTCATATTGTTCAAACCTTTTTTCCAATGATGCAATAGTTTGATCCACAATGTATATAAAATATTGGATTCTAAATGATTCCTCAGGAGATAATAGTGTTTCATCACCATCTATCTCATCAAATTGTCTTTTTCTACGTATTATACGTCTTTGTGGAAATACAGGATCAATGCCAACTTCAATAGCTAATTTTTTTGCAATATCTATGGCCTTTGAAAAACCATTCTCCCTATAATTTTTAAAAAAGGAAATCAACCCTTTAATCTCACCAATGGCGATATCAATCAGCATATCCTGGGATTGTAATTGTTTACTAACAAAGTTTACAGCACATAAAATTTCATACCAAATGATTGTAGCAAGCAAAAATTCAAAACTACCAAGTTCATTATTTGCTAAAGATCTAGCTTCACTTTGAAGTTTATGATCATTGTCAGCATCAGCTACTTCAGCTACTTCAAGTAAGGCTTCACGTATCTCAGGTATTTGAAATCTGATTGCTTTGATACTTTCAACACGACTTTCCCATCGAGTGGCAGATAATGATTTAAGAGTTAAACCTTTAACATTTTCTTTTAAAATATGCCATCTCTTAGTAGAACCAACAAATATAGTATAAATGCGTTGGACTATACCAAAGTATTCCCTTGCTTTAGGAGAAGCATTTGCAATGTCACACAAAACTAAATTAAGACTATGACAACCACATGGAGAATAAAAAGCTCTAGGATTCAAATCCAATAGTCTCTTTTGCACACCTTGATGTTTACCTTTCATGTTAGAACCATTATCATATCCTTGTCCCCTTATATTATCTATGTCAAGATCATGAGATATTAACACATTTTCTAACACTTTAAACTGTCCTAGACCAGTAGTATCATTAACTTGTAAGAACTCAATAAAAAATTCTTTCACTTTATAAGAATTTGAACATTTGTCAACACACCTTAAAATTAAAGTCATTTGTTCTTGATGACTAGCATCAGGTGTACAATCCAACATCACAGAAAAATATTTTGCTTCTTTTATTTTCTTCATGATAGCATTATTGATTTTAGAAGCAAGTAAGAGTATCAATTCATTCTGAATTTCATGGCTAAGATAATGATGATGAATAATCCCATTCTCAATACGACGAACATGCTCAATAATCATAGGATCAAATTCAGCCAACATTTCAATCAAACCAAAAAAATTTCCATTGCTACTTTGATATAACCTTTCATGTTTCCCACGAAATGCAAGGTTATTTTTACCAAGGAACTTCACAATAGCAATAATTCTAATAATGACACTTTTCCAGTACTCCTTTTCTATATGAAATTGGTCTTGGGTAATTTTGTCTATTGTTTCATTATTTTTCAATCTATTTCTTAGTTCACACCAAGCACCCATGTTCAAAATGTGATCAACACTTGTTTCATGTTCTTTAAGTCTATGACTAACATGTGACCAATCATTATATCCTTCATTTACCAAATTGCCTTTTCCGATACCCTTTTTGAAAATTTTACAGCAAAAACAAAATACTTTGTCAATATCTTTAAAATAAACAAGCCAATCTCTATCACAAGTTTCACCATTAGGCAAATACCTAGTATATAAATTTGAAGTAATTCTCCTAGATACTTTCTCTTTAGGGCCTTTCACTATGGTTAAGTCTCTTTTAGGGCCATTGAGAGCCAAAATATCAATCGACTTCTGATCAAGAGCTTCCCATATCCTTGGATCATATATATCACGAGAAACAAAATCATTTTCTTCAACATTGTGAATATTATGATCTGAATTTTCCTCCACATTTTGTTCAAAATCATTAACATTATTCAGATTCACATCTTCTTGCTCAACATTAATATTATTATCATCAACATTAACATTGTCATTTATCACATCTACATTATCATTATCAACATTAACATTATCACCACCAACATTATCATTATTTTCTTTTAACTCTGAATCAATAGGATTTTCAGTTGACTGTGGCACTATTACAAAAAACTTATCTAAAGCACCTTTTTGTGATTGAATGAATTGATCTTCCTTCTTTTTTTTTATTGCGTTTTTCATGCCCAGATGGATACTTTCGAAACATTTTAAACACAATTACACTAAATATTTGATAAGAGAGGAAAAATATCACCGGAAAAAGCTTGTAACAAGCCAACGATTGAATTCGACAGATCCGAGATCGCTAATTGCTATGTATAATCCAATACTCCATCAAAACCATTCATCAACCGCTGTAATCAATAAAAAAAATAAAAAAAAAACTTATGAATAATTTATACATAGTAATTGCTAAAATTTAACAAAAAAAAAATTAAAAAGCATAATATTATCAAACAGTAACAGATTTAACAGGTAAAAAAAAAAAACAGATTAAACACATGCCGTACTCCATAGGCGTATCCATATCCAATGCCGATTCCAAAGAGGTTTGTGATAAAAAAATTTCCAATTACTAGCTATACTCACAGTACTTGCAAATAATTTTGGAATTAATATTATCTTAAAGATTTCTTTTTTATTTATAAAATTGAAAAACCTAGTAAATTGCATATATAGAAAAATTTGGGGGATTAACAACGGTTTAATAATTAATTTCATCTTAAAATTGAAGATTTAACCGTTGAAATTATGAATTAATATGGGCAAAATTATTTTGGAAGATGAAATATTTTTGGGCTAATTGAATGATTGAAGATACTAATAAAAAGTAAATTAAAAATGTTGAAAACAAGATGTTAAAATAGTTAAGTGTGAAATTAATTTTGGAAATATAGAGTGAAATTAATTGAATGATATATACGACTTGGAATTAATTGAATGATAGATTGAAAGTTTTTTTGGAGAAAAATATTGGAGAAGAGGAAAGGTTTGGGCGGAGGATTCTAGAGAAGTGACTTAGTTCATTCACTTCATTGAATTTGATTGACATACAACTGTACACTACTACACTTTATTTCCCAAAAAAATAAAAAAAATTGCTGGCCCCAAGGCTTGAAACTAGGTCTCGTACACAAAGCATAAGTGTTATAACCAATACTCCAACTATAATCTTGTGATATTATGTACAACTTAATTACATATATCTGAATTTTGGGGCCCCTCAAATTTGGGGGCCTTGTTCCGTCGAACACCCCGCTCCGGCCCAGAACCGCCCCTGCCACATGGTCACGATACCTACATACATAAGAACGAAGTAGATCGAATTAGACCAAAACAATAGAAGTTTCATGGCCTGGTGTAAATCATGTATATAAAATACGTATCTGAAATTAGTTAATTACACGAGTACATGAAAATATACTACCTTTACCTTTGGGGAAGATTGCCTGGCCTCTTTACCTCTTGTTTTGAAGCAATTGTTCCCTTTACTTTTTACGAACTTATAATTGTAGGTGTAGTTTGATCAATATTTAACTACTAATTCTACGATTTAATTCATTTATTTTCAAAGATATTAGTGGTCAAAGTTTGCTTACTAAGCTAGAACTTAAAACAGAAAAACCAACTTTATTTAGATGGAATGGTTGGACTACGATACAATATCAAGATTATGCATGTGTACTTGAATATTAATTGGGCGTGTTCTCTTACCATTGAAGCATTCTTTCATGCGTTTCAGTAGAAGCAATTATAAATGCCTGAAATTCAGCAAGTCCATTTTCATTAGAAGCAATAATAAACAAGAAAATCCAAGAATTATTAGAAGGAGATGATGATGATGAATAAGTTGTAACATACAGATCTATCGAATTCCAACCAGAAACATCGTTTCACATCCTCTTCTGTAGGTTGGCAATTGCATCTATCGCGCCTTGAAGTTAAGTCGGAGAATCTTGCATATGTGTAGTGCAAAATTGCAGCTTCATCCAATATAATCTCTCTATCAATAGTTATATGGAAGTACACATGTTAAAGTAAAATTTTCACATCTTCAAAAAAAAAAAAAAAAAAAAAAAAAAAGAAAAAAAATAGTCACATCTTCATAATAAAGAGGTAGAAGAGTGCATCAAAGTTATCAATTATTACTCCATAATATCCATGGATGGGCTGTTAATCGTTGGACTGAGATGTACTTGTCATTTTCGTTTAAATATTTGATGTTTATGTTACGTGCATTAGTGCATATATCATGCAAGGACTTGTTAGTTATTATTGCGTTCGTATGCAAAATTGATAAAAATATTGCGATAATTTTCAAAACTGATGAATAATGGAGTATTATTATTTATTTTTTTCATATATTAAAAATTGGAATAAAAATAATCCATTTAATTATTAATAATTTAATTTGAAGCAAATGAGGCATGCATGCATCACTACACGAAAATGTCAATTTGGCAACGGTTCAAACCCTCCAAAGGCAACGGTTTTGAACCGTTGCGTATTTGAGGGTTGCCAAATCCCCAAATAGTTGGCAACGGTTCAAAACCGTTGCCAACTCAAGCAATTGGCAACGGTTAACCGCTGCCAATTGCTTGAGTTGGCAACGGTTAACCGCTGCCAACTTGGTTTTTTTTTTTTTTTTTTTTTTTTTTTTTTTGGCGGCAATAACTAAACTGCTTTGCTGCTTGAATTTACAATTTTAAAAGTTTAATTAAGACATTGATAACAACAAATCAACAATGCTTATTATTAAAAGGCAAAACCAAAAGTATCATACAAGTACATAAAATACGTACAATCATGCATAAGCTCAAATATAAACTTCACCACACCCTCCACATTCCTTTAACACACACACTTAGTATAGTTGCTGCAAGCAAGAAAGGAAGGCAATCCACAGAGACCCTGATTCTTGGGATGAACCTGACAAGTTCAATCCAGAAAGGTTCTTGAATTCCTCAACAGATTTCAGAGGGCATGACCTCCAGTTCATTCCATTCGGAGCTGGCAGAAGGATGTGCCCTGAAATATCATTTGCCATGGCAAGCAGTCAGCTTTTATTGGCAAATCTCATGCGTAAGTTTGAATGGATGTTGCCTGGTGAAGCAGATATTGAAACCCTGGACATGACTGAGAGCTTTGGGATCAATATGCACAAAAATACTCCACTTCTTGCCGTAGCAAAATCTTGTATTGCATCTGCAGGAAACTGAAGACTCTGCACCCCTGCATATGAATACCCTGAGTTGTTGGCAGCAAATAGATGTAAAAGAAGATATAATAGTACTGATTGTTCTCGATCCCTCATCCACTTCTATATACTTCTCTAAAGAATCAGAACACTATTCTTCTCGGTCACCAATCAAAGTCCCTCATTTCCCCTTTTGAATGAATTACATAACTTAAAATACATAATCAATTTCTAACAACTTGAAGAACTAATTACAAGAACGGCCATAATTCCCTCGATTCTTGACCAAATCGAGCTTATGACCATTCGTTGGAAAGCTCTTGAACCAAGCTATCACCTCCAACTTGAAACATCTCAAAATCATTTCTTGATTGTGAGATATGCTCATTCAAGTCAGCCCTTTGCACACATGCATTATTGCTCAACATCAAACAATAATCCATAGCTTAAACTCATGAGCTATGCATCCTTATGCCTTGAACCATTCTCCACACCTTTCAAACCTAACACACACGGCAAGATATATGTTTAAACCCGCAAATATCTATCCTGGTCGACTTATCAATGCTCTGTCAAAACAAAAAAATACAAAACCTAAGATGAACACAATCAACCAATGCTGCATTTTATGAACTCAAGAACACGGAGCATAAAGCAATCAGTTGTATCACCTAAGTTACCAATTCTCACCCAACCAACATAAATCACAAAAATGACTCCAAATTAGCCGCATTATAAGTTGCAACAATGCAAATAATATTCAATAATACAACCAAATGGAAGGAAATAAAGTGCGGAAAGTAAAACAATTACCCAAAATCGATGAGAAATGGACGCGAAAATGGTCTTCAATGGTACGACGCAGAATTAGGTTGAAGCTCGCTGTTTCAATGGTACGACACGGAAATGGTCTTCAATGGAGGTGAAAAAGCTCGCACCAGGCCACTTCAATGGAGCGAGTTGAATGAAGAAGGAGGAATGAAGAACAGTAGGAAGAAGAGGGAAAACGCGCATTCTACTTTTTTTTTTTTTTTTTTTTATTGAATGAAGAATGAAGAAGAACAGAAGGAAGAAGGGGGAGTTCGTATTTCGGGGTTTTTTTTAAAAAAAAATTGGACCCTTTACCTTTTATTTATTTATTTTTATAAAACGGAGTTGGCAACGGTTAACCGTTGCCAACTCTAACCATTTAATTTAATTTTTTTTTTTAAAAAAAATCATCAATTGGCAACGGTTAACCGTTGCCAATTCTTCCAATTTTTTATTTTATTTTTTTTAAAAAAATAATTAAACAGTTGGCAACGGTTAACCGTTGCCAACTTTGTAATTTTAATTGGCGCTCAATTAAGTTGGCAACGGTTTTCATGAACCGTTGCCATAGGGGGGTTGCCTATTTCTTTTTTTCTACTAGTGCATGGTGGTGTGATGAGCCAAAAGATTTAGTGCAATTATTGTAATTTGATGTGTTACATCATTTATACTTACTAAGAAATCATTTATCTTAATAAAAAGACACTAATCAATACAAAATATTTTATGAAAAAGGAGAATGAAGCATACTTGGGTTCTTTGAAATAGTTATACCATTGATGAGCACCATTGGGGCGAAGGTGATCTTGGATCCTTGCAGCTGATTTTCCATTTGCATAACATAAGTTAGGAAATAATTTGGGTTACCTCGGGTTTCCATCTTGTAAAGTTCGAAATTTGAATCATTAGGAAGATGGTCGAATTTTTTTTTGAATAATGAAACCTATGCAATGACATTAAAAGTAAGGATCGTGTAACAGAAACGTGTATACGGACATTAGGGCTTATATTACCTCCGTTACATATTAGTTGTAACTTTGGGTTATTATTTGTGAGACATAAAATATTCCAAAGTTGTAACTAATATGTCATGGAGGTAGTAATAACTTCAATTTTTTTTTTCCCTCTATATTAGTGCTTACTAAACTGATTAGTTGAAATTACCTCATAGAAAGGATCTTGAAGTCATTCCTCAACCGCACTTTCCTAACGAGGGGGGAAAAAAATTGCCAATTATTAGGTTAAAATATATATCCCAAATGAACATATTTGAGCTATCACACAATCACGTTATATATTTATTTAATTTCAACCTAACCTAAATTTAACTTTATTTGTGTCTTTATCATCATGTGTCCATACTATGTACAAGTATTTCTTAACTTGATAGTCGCGCCAATCAAATCACGCTCACAACAATAAAATTCGAGATAAAGAGACGTACTATAGCTACCTTAGAATTGAACAAAATCCTTTGATTTACTCACATAGTTTGAAAATACAACCGCGTCAACATCACTAGGTACATTTGCTAATAACTCTCTCATTGAGTAGGTTCAAAATGACAATCAAAATTAATCAAAGATAGAAGTTGTAAGAAGTATAGTGTTATTAGGTTGAAATCATACTACACATCATACATACCCTTGCCATGGCTATAGCCGTTTCCATGTTGAGGGTTTGCTTCACAAATAACGCACTACTGTTGCATGGCTTGTTGAAGGCGGCTGAAAGCCATGTATCATTCCAAATTGGACTGATATATAATCCAAAATTATTAATTAGGAGCAAATTTGTAGAGATTTTTGTAGGATTTTATGTAATAAGGACTTATAAAAACATAGAACATTGGGATCATACAAGTATTACAATTGTACGTAGTATATGCATGCTACAAGACGAGGATAATAAGATGGACAAATATAGTTTGTTCTTTTGGTCTTTAAAAAAAGATTATAACAAGTTGAGATAAGTTCATTCTACAACGTAACTCTTACAATTTGACATACTTATTGGATTTATCAGTTTTATCTCCTCTTTAATCTGTCTATTGTATATAGTAACCAACATGTGTAACTAACATTACAATCTAGTTTAAGACTAGATTAGATACGGCAAATAAGCAAGTTTATTACTTGTCAAAAAAAAAGAAAAAAAGAAAAAAAAAAAAAAAAGCAAGTTTATTAATTAAAAAATTAAACATTGTGTAGTCTGTAACGATGCACATATTAAAATGAAATTAATTACGTGTCAAAAAAATGAAACTAATAAAGTGCAAAAATTGAATATCATTACTCCGTAGATTAATTTTTTTTAAAAATATACATCGATGCGTAATTTTGTCATGATTAATTCCTAAACTAATTTATTGTGTCTCTATATTCCTAGTTCATTTTCCATCGAATCCTAAACAATAACTGAACACGAACCTCTGAGCTTGCTGGACTTCTAGTTCTCTTGTTCTAGAAATAACTTTTACTCCCTATATGTGAGAAAGAGAAGATAAATAATAAAACCAATAATAGAGAAGTGTAAAAAATTTGCAAATCAAAGGCAAAATATAGCCATAAAATATATACAAATGAATTACTCACAGGAATAGTACGTCTCAGGGACTTTAGATACATTGATTAGGGCTAGCTGCCTTTCCTTCAACAATACATGAGTAATACATATATCTAACACAATACATGAGTTCATGATTACAATTTCATAAACATTAAAGCAGCAAGAGAGGTAGTAAAGTCATATTTTAAAATTTAAGTGAGAGAATAATGATGTTTCGTCTCTTATATAAAAATTAAGATTTATTTAACGTGTTTTACATATACATACACCGCCACTTCACCACAACCAAAAGGGTTTAAGTAGCCTCATTGTTTTAGGGATATACCCATACACTATAGAGTCATAGAGAAACAAATTTTGGTATGTATGTAACGTAATAGATCTAAGGTAAAATCGAGGAATGTACGTCTAGCCGCCTACAATCGCAATAAGTGGAGGGATCATATCGTTGAAGAATGTACAAAAGCATTTGGAATCTTATTTGGTAAATTGGTATTAACGTGAAAATGCCTTCAATAATTCTATCTATATATTGACTAAATAATGCTTCTGTCATGGGCGACCACTTATAATACAAGTAATCGAGTAAAATGCAAATG